TTATAATTTTTGTTATGAAGATTGTTTTTATTTTTTTATTTTGTTTTCTTATTATGCTAGCTTAAACACCCCTTCTCAAGGGAGTGATGAAGCCACCATGGCTGAAATATAAGTAAATTTAGTTTAATTCTTTTATGAAATTTTCTCTTTAGAGCATTATTTTACTCTTCTATTCTGTGTTCTTATTTTGATAAAAAAAATTAGAAAGAGGATTCTTCGTGTTTGCCAATTAATGGTAATTCGGAGAATGCCTATTTCTATTTTCCAAAGATATATCAGATTAAGTAAAATATGTTCTCAAGCAATTATTATTTCACGCTATTATTTTCCTTCATCTTTCCAAGTTGTAATTGGACTGGTGGAGTGATTTGCTTATAATAGGAAAATTTACATACAGAGAAATATACAAATTTATTTATAGTAAGCTGTGGTGGTGGATTCTTTCCTTGAGATTTTTCTTATTATTTGATCAAAATTTATTTCATCTTATTTATTTATTTTATTTTTAGTTTATTAATAATAAATCATTAAATTGTTTTAAAAGTTATTCTTCCTTAAATTTTGGTTTTAATTTTGATTCACGAGTTTAAATCTTGTATGGTTCGACCCTGCTTATTCTATACCATCTTTAATTTAGTTTTTTGCAGGTTTTTCTTATTTTTGTATGAAGTGTAGAAAAACAACGACAGAATCTATAATTCTACAATCGTCAAAATTCATGGAACATTTTTCTTTAAAACCCTAATTAAATAAATGTTATTGAGTTTAATTCTTATGATACATAAACTGTGAAATCCCAAAGTTGAATGGTTGACCGTAATACGAGATTCTTGGTGAAGTCAATCCCTAAGAATTTCTCTCTCTTGATCTTATCTTTATTTTAATTTAGTTTTTATTTAATTTTATGTTCATGAAAAATAATCAAATCAATCAAACTTTTCTCTTTGAATCAAAATCATATTAATTGGATGCTTCAATAAACTACGACAGTCTCTGTGGTTAGACACCCTTAATATAGCCCTATTTTGCAAAGATTTGTGTTATTACAAGTGGTTGTATATTGCTTCACATCACTTGCAAGCATTTGTAGCCAAAATACACCTTCTGAACCTGAGTGAAACCTTAATTGGCCTATAAAAAGTACTGTCAACATAATGTACCTTCCTTAGACAATTTGAAAAAGACTTCTTATAAATGTATAAAGACAATGTTTCCCCTGTAATTCTCTGTAATGCAATGAGCTCACTAGAATGGACTTGTGACAACTTTTTGACATTTTAAGGGCAAACCATAATTCAAAGATGGGACTAACATTAGCGTCTATTAGTGTGTATATATATATGTATGACTATGTAGCTATTGCATGAGTTTTAGCTAGAGATGGATTGTTTATCGGTTCTCTGATTGGGTTATAATAGAGAGGACTTGCTCATTGGTTTAATCCACCATTGTTCATATTTTTTCAGGTTCATGTCAGTTCTAGTCTTAGAGTTGAGTTCGTGTTGATCAGAGACAGTCTTCATCACTCTTTCAAATTCATTAACGCAGGATATCACCTTATGATTTTATTCTTTAGACTTAGATATTATTTATTTCAGTTTATGAGATTTATTTAGAGGTCCATGAGATACGGATTCCAGAGTTGTACTTTGGAGGTTTATTATTACGATGAGATTTATTGGAGGATTATTCATTGATGGGTTTATTATTATTTAATTATTATTTACATTGACCTTTCATAAAAGGAATCGAGCCTAGTAGTGGACTATTTGGGCTTGGCTTGGTTCTTAAGGTTGTCAATTTGAGCTCGAGTCGGGATCATGCAACATTGTTCGAGCTCGGTTCGATGATGTTCATGAGCTATTCGAGTCAAAGCTTGTTAAAAATTACAATAATATATAAATTAAGTACTTTATCAATTGTTTCAGTTTTTAAAGATTTTATTTTTTAGAAGAAGAAAATTAAGTATTTTGATTCCACTTAGGAAGGATATATATAGATAAAAGATTGAAAAACATAATGAATTTTAACTCAAAAAAAATATTTTAAATTCAACAAGATTATTATTGAGTTATTAACCAAGATACAAATAGTTATAAAATTTGTTATTTAAAAAGTGATTTCTAAAAGTATTATCATATATGATATTATTATTGTTATTGATAGTCTCACAATACTCAGTTTATCTTCTTTCCAAATATTCCTAAGACTTACCAATAAAGATTGTTATATAATTTTAGATATTTTTCTTGTAAATACTATTTTACAAAAATGTTTGACAAAAAAAATGAGGGAATATTAGTTATTTTATTCCTTTTTTTTCTCTCTTAAATTAATATTATAGATATTGTACTCATATATATAAATAAAATAACAATGTGTTGCGATAATGACAATAATAATTATTTACAAAAAAAAAATAACTATAATAATAATGAGCTTAAATTTTTGTTTCATAATACTTGAACTTTTAGAAGTATAGTTAAAAGAATGCAAGTTGAAAAAATTTTAAATTTGAAGGAGATACAAACTAAATTTATTTTCAAGTGTTTTTAAAAACATTGGGGGACCAATTGAAATTTTTAATAAAATTTAGGGACAAAATTTACAAATTAAATAATATTTAGAGGTTATTAATATAATTTTTAAAAAAGCTTAGATGGTCAATATATGTGTTAAAAATATTAGGGGATCCAATTAATTTTTTTAATAGATTTAGGGACAAAATTTACAAAATGAGTAGATTAGGATTAGAGCTTAGCCGTCGTCCTCCCATGCCACAAGGAGATATCGCAGAGGATTGGGATGAGGGCTAAGGTTGAGAAGAAATGGGGGGCTTGGGTTGAGATGAAATGGGTGTTAAAGCATTTATATAGATGGATATGGGTTTGGGTTTAGATTGTCTTAATTTGATTGGTTTTGGTTTATTTTAATTTTTGAAATGATTGGTATATGGATTGGGCTGGTTGGGTTTGGAAGTGCTAAAATTTTAAAAGAAAGGGCAAAGCCCAAACTTTATATAATATATAGGGCTAATTTCTAAAACCCCCCCTCTTATTTATCGAAACTATCTACTAACCCCATTGAGTATTAAAAAACCCCCTAATATAACAGAAACTATAAAATTGCCCTCATTCCGTCACAGAACCTTTAAGTTACTGTGAAATGTCAAAAATACCCTTAATATTATTTTAAAATGAAAATGTGAATTTTGAATTGGCAAATATACCCCCGTATGAAATGATGTAGTATTGTGTTGTTTATGCCTCTTTGTGAAATGACGTCGTGTAGGGGTTAGGTTGTATGCCCTAAATCGATTTTTATGCCTCCATCTATGTTCTGTGTTTGTGCGCGCGCTGAGTGTTGAAGAAAGCAAGTGTAAGTCTTGATGAAAGCGACTGTTGATGAAAACAAGTGTTGATGAAATCAAGTGTATGAGTGTTGATGAAATCCAATGTCTGAGTGTTGATGAAAGCCAGTGTCAAGTTTTTATGAAAGCAAGTGTTGTGTGTGTCTTTTTCTGTAATCGCTCAGTGGTCGAAGATCTTGGTGGATTCTAACTGGTTCGTATCATTTTTGTTCGACACAATGGTGCTAGGCATGGACAAACTTTTACCTATTGTCGTTGCTTTGTAGTTAGGGTTTTATAGTGTTTTCTTTTCAATGTGGGTCCTTAATGTTTGGTAGGTATAATTCGATATTTGGTGGACAAACTTTTACCAATGTCGTTGCTTTATAATAAAAATTAGGGTTTGTTTATAGGGCTGTGGTCCTAGTGATAAAAAATTAGGGTTTGTTTATTGTTCAAAGAATTTTTTCATAATTTAAGGTTTAGGGATTTATTGTTGAAATTAATAGTAAATAGTATATTTTTTTGGGAGGAATTCTTAGGGTTTTATAATCTTTCCTTTTCAATGTGGGTCCTTATTGTTGGGTGGGAGTATTGATATTAGGGTTTAATGATTTTGTATTACTTAGAGTATTGTTGGTCCTAGTGATCATTAAATTAAGTAATATAGGGTGGTGGTCCCAGGGATGTTTGACAATACTTGTTTAAAATTACTGTAACTGTGTTAGAATTGTTTTTTAGTTATCTTATGTTTGGTATTGTTTTGTTGAAATTTATTGTTTTAGGTTTTAATTCTGCTTTTCAAAAGTTATACACACTGGAAATGCATTATGGTGTTCAGTTTGGTAGTACAGAATTAAGTTCATATGTTGGTGGGTCTGTTGAGATATATGAGGGTATAGACAGTGATCTCATGTCAATGATAGAACTTACATACATGATAGGTCTGCTTGGTTGTCCTACTACAACAAGTAAACTATTTTACAGGTCTTACATTGATGGAAGTTTAAAAGAGTTGAAGACTGATAGAGATGTCATTGACATGTTCAAACACAACCAAAGGTTCTCCCTAATTAAAATATATGTGGTGTCAATTATTGAAAAAGGAAATGCAGAAGGTGAGAATAATGGAGATAGATCAGTAGAGGTGCCTGCAATAGCAACTGAAGATGACAGTCATTTTGATATGCCTGAAATTGAAGATGAAAGTGAAGATGACAGCAATTTTTATATGCCTGAAATTGAAAATGTAGATGACAGTGATTTTGATCTGCCTGAAAGTGAAGATGACATTGATGTTGATAGAAATGGAAATGAAATTGAGGACGAGGATGTGAATGGTAATGATATTGAAGATGTAATAGATGAGGACTTTTATGATGAAACTTTTATGATAGATGAGGAGGTTGATGAAGTAAGAAATAATGAAGATGCAACTGAGGTGAATGAGGTTACAAATTATGAAGAATATGAGATTGAATTTGATAAGGATGATGGCAGTTATCAAGCTTCTAAATATGCACCAAGTGAAGAGTTGACGAGTTTGGTATACTCAAGTGGTGAAGAATGTGAGGATGATGCCACAAGTGGCCCATCTTATCCAAATTTCAATGTTCATACAGACTTGGGGAAAAAAAAACTTTAAATAGGCATGAAGTTTGGTTCTGTAGCAGAATTTAGAGAAGCAGTAAGGGATGCAGCTATAAAAGGCAAGTTTGACCTATCATTTGTGAAGAATGATGGAGAGAGAGTCACAGTGGTATGCAAGGCTAAATGTGGGTGGAGGATTCATGCCTCTGAAAATGGTGAAAATAAATCATTCTAAATAAAGACATTCAATGATACTCACAATTGTACTAGTGTAAGGCATAACAGTCAGCTAACATATAGTTATTTAGCAAAACATTATACTGAAATGATTATGGCTGATCCAAATTGCTCATTGAAAGGTTTTGTGCAGACAGTTGAAAGTGAATTTAATGTTGAAGTGACAAAACAAAAGGTGGGTAGAGCAAAGAAGTTGGCTTTACTAATGATTCAAGGTGATTATTCAAAGCAATTTGCAAGAACTAGGGACTACTGTGCCTTAATCCTAGAAACAAATCCCAGGAGTGTTGCTAATGTAAGAACAATACCCTATAATGATGATGGTACTTCATTCTATAGGTTGTTCTATTCCCTAGAGGCTATGTGGAAAGGATTCTTAGAGGGTTGTGTGCTGTTGGTAGGGATGGCAACAATGGCTTTTATCCAATTGCAATTGGTTGTGTTGAGGCAGAATGCAAGGACTCTTGGGAATGGTTCTTGGATGAATTGATGGCTTTAGTTGGCAATTATCAGAACTACACATTTATCTCAGATCGATAGAAGGTATACATGTTTATCTTTCAATGTATATGGTCATTTATTATCTTACTTTAATGTTTTACATATTTATAATATTTTGTTCTCTTATTTTCAGGGTTTACTTGAGGTATTTGAGCATAAATATCCTGGAGCAGATATCACGTTCTGTATTAAACACATGTATGAGAATTTCAGGCAGAATACTAAGAAACATATTCTGGAATGCATCCACAGCATACACAGAATCTGATTTTGTGCTACATATGCAAGAGATGAAGGAAGTTAACAAGGATGCACATGATTGGTTAATGAAGATTCCCTTAAAGGTTTGGGTAAGGTCAGCATATACTACAAAGAGTAGGAATAGCCTATGTGTAAATAACATGTGTGAGTCATTCAATAGCTACATTGGGAAGGCAAGGGACCAGCCTTTAATTTACATGTTTGAGAAGATTAGAAAACAACTGATGGTAAGGTATCAAAGCAATAGAGAGATGATGGATAAGGTTAATGGACTGTTGTGTCCAAAAATTAAAGAGAAATTGGATAAAATTTCTGAAGATGTCAGAAGACTGCGTGTGAGTTATGCAGGAAATGACAAGTATGAGGTGGAAAACATGACATGGAATGAAGCTGGGGTTAGTGATTATGTGAATCTTGCTACAAGAACTTGTTTATGTAAGTATTGGGATATAACTGTCATACCTTGTAAACATGCAGTGGCAGTAATTTTGGATAGGAGGTTTGATCTAGAGCTGTTTGTTCACCCTTCTTACTATAGAGAGACATATTTGAAGTCTTATGGATATGTCATAACTCCAGTGTCTTTAAGGAATCTGGAAAGAGAAGTTGGTACTGTTCCAATACTGCCACCACCTCATAGGACTAGACCTGGAAGACCTAAAAAGATCAGGAAAAGAGGTCCAGATGAGAGTAAGTCAAAAGGTTCAGTGGTGAAGAGGTCAAAAATGAGATGCACTAAATGTCTTGTCTTGGGTCATAATGTAAGGACTTGTAAAGCACTTAAGCAAGCTATACGACAACCAAAAGGTAAGGGTGGAAGACCAAGAATAGTTAAAGGCACATGTGGTGTAGGTGGTGGTAGAGATGAAACTGTTGCTGGTAGGAGAGAGGAATTCTACTACAGAAGGTGGGAGGTCTGCTAACAGAGGTAGTGGTAGAAGTGGTGTGAGAGTTAACAGAGTTGCTACTAGGGGTGGTGGTGGTGTTCACATAAGTGGTGCTGTTCACATAGGTGGTGGTGTTCACATAGGTGGTGGTGACAGACCTGCTAGAGGTGGTAGCAGTGGTGACACAGCTGCTAGAGCTAGTGGCAGTGGTGGCATAGCTGGTAGAGGTATTGGCAGTACTGCTAGAGGTGGTGACAGTGGTGGCAGAGCTGCTAGAGGTAGCTGGTAACAGACCTGTTGTACTTCATTCAGAGGTAAAAATTATATTTTTTTATTTCATATTTATTATACATTATAAACACATGTAGGTTGACATTTTTTACTTTATTTAATAGCCATTAACATCCACCCAACATTATGGTGTTGGTCTTGGTCTTGGTGGAAGAACTATTGTTGGTTATTCAGAGGTATTATTATTCAACCTCTTATTATTTTATTTTACGTTACATTAAACAAAACTGAACTAACACATACTTTTCATCCATTGAATAGGCATCAACATCCACCCAATATGAAGTGGTTCATATGGACTTTCCTTCCACACTTAACACACAAGAATGATGGCATGTTGATGAAAGTGGTAGCAACTTTTTTGTGCAGCTTTTTTGGTGGCCAAATTGAAAAAATGGTTGACTGCATATTAGTATTTTCTTATGTTTTTTATGGTACAGCTAAGTAATGACAGTGGTGGGTTTATTTTGGACAGTGGTGGTTTTTTTAATGTGTGGCTATTTTGGACAGTGAATGTGTTGGTTTATTTGACAATGCAGGGCAATGTAATGACAATGGCTGTTTTTAATGTATGGCTATTTTGGACTGTGAATGTGTTGGCTTTTTTTAACAATGCATGGCAATGTAATGATAGTTAATGTTTTTAATGTATGGCTATTTTGGATAGTGAAGCAGTTGGTTTAAATATATGTATGCAACTTTACCTTAAATGCATTTTGACAAATTGTAACTTGTCAATTTGATTTTGTTTATGCAATTCGAAACACAAGGCTCAACACTTACAATTCTATAATTTAACTTCAACATACACTTTTACTCATGCACTTGACAATTCAGAAAGTACATTGCATACACACTTCATACGGCTTCAAAATATATTTTGCATACACAGCCTCATATTAAAACCAACTGACTACTTTCTTCCTAAAGCTATTATACATGCAACAACACAGAACATAACAAATGCTACAACTAATTGCTTCAGAATTTTTTGGATTTGTTCCATACTTTTTCCCATTGCTTCCGAACTAAACTTCAGTTCTGCAATTTCACTAAACTTGCTTTCATCTGCTTCAGTATATGTTGGCATTGTACAAATCGGATCACACCATGCCCATAAAGAGCATTTTTTTGTACCACAAGAATAGTATATCCTCCCTTTGTTGTTACACTCATCTGAACCTGTAACTCTCACTACAGCTAGATAGCCACAACCACATATTATGTTGTTATACCTGAGATCTTGTCGATTAACAGATTGTGTGCTTGAAGAAGACATTTGGGTCCCTGATCGCGGGTTAGGGCTTTGAATAGGGCACAGAGTGGCTACGATTTTGGGCTTCAAATAATCAATTGGGGACTTTAATACATCGATTAGGGCTTCAAATCATCAATTGGAGAATTTAAAAGATCAATTAGGGCTTATGATACTGCTGCTATGGAGAATCCTCAAACCACTTCAATCATAGACAAAAACAAGAGAAGACAAGAGCAAAGAGAGAATAGAGAAGAGAGAAGAAGGCACTTAACGAAGAGATAAGAAAGAAGACGGCAAGTTAACGAAGAGAGAAGCGAAAACACCGAAAAAGAGAAGAGATCTTTTATGGCGGCAATCCTCACTAACCGGTGCAATGCAACGACAAAGAAGGAAGGAGATAAACAATGCATAACCGAGAGGGTGGGGTTAGATAACAAACATGAAGGGTTTTTTCGTCATTTCCATACAATAAGGGTACTTTCGTCATTATATTGGGGTATCTGGTGCACGTGACGCTCACGTGATTAGAAGACGTTAGTTTTAGACGGTCAACTAACGAGAAGGGGGTCATATGATAGATTTTAAAATACGTTGAGGGGTTTTATGATAGTTTCCGTACTTGAGGGGATTAGTAGATACTTTTTTAAAACAAGAGGGGGGTTTTTTAGAAATTAGCCCTAATATATATGTATATATAAATTTATATATTTACGAGTTTATTAGTGAGCTTGTTCACAAACATGTTCATGAATTAACGAGCCGAGCATAAGAGTGTTTGAGATTGGTTAACTTATTAATCAAATGCATAAATTTTGTTTGAACTTGGTTCATTTATTAAACAAATGAACACGAACCGAGCTCGAGCTGTTTGTCGAAATCTTGACTCATTAGCTGCAATATAATGTAAGGCATTAGTGACTTTTTATCCTCAAGATTTAGAGAATGTCAAGGTAATAAACCCTTCAAAATATTTAATACATATATATATATATACATGAGAATACTGTTACATGTGAAGTTGCCCAATTCATTATTCCAAGGTACCTTTCCTTGATAGCATGTATTTGTTCTTCAATAACTTGATTTTCACAAACAGATTCTTACTTGCAAACCAATATTCTCAAATATGCCATAGCCCCGGAATCAACAGAGACGAGTGACAATTTATTGCGTAAAACTCGACAATAATCAACTACAAGAACGAAATGCTAGGTCTTGACTCTTTTGTAATCCATGACTAATGAAATCATCACTTTCACAGCAAAGATGAGTTTGTAAACCTCTTCCACCTTCCCAACTTCTCCCTTCCCTGGAACAAAATAAAAAAACTCAACTTTAAAATATAAATCATTAAAAGACGACTCCATGTATAAACCCTGTTATGTGTGAATTTTAAGCCGAAAGTGAAAATAACATGAAAAAACACAAAGGGAGAAAATAAAAAGAAAGAAAAAGAATAGGGAAAAACAAAAATTTATCTAACTTGTCTCATCAACATGATAAGAAGAACAAAACCATGATAACAATAAATTGAACCTAATTAAATGGCAATACCCTTACTGCTCCATTGTACAAGTAGCAGATATATGGATCTCTGTCCACACTAGCCAATAATACTCAACTTAATAGGTTGCACTAAAAATCATTCTAGTGAGACATTCTACAAGGAATTTTGAGTATATTGGGTTTCTAGAATTCTAAAAAGAAACGATTCTCAGTTTTAAATCAATTGTCATAAATAAAAATTAAAGTTTTCTGATGAACGACAAATCCATTTCATTTAGAAGTTGCTGGGATGTCTCAACACAGTAGCATCTTGTGTACAATGTGCATTGAATGGAAGGTTAGCTCATATACCTTCACTTGGGGACATAATACTGTAAAACCAAATGTAAGATGGGGACACAAATTTGCAAACTAGGTATCCAGTCCAGGAATTGACTGAAGAAAATTTAAGACAGGTCCAGTCTGTACATATATTAATAAAACTAAAAGGAAGAAAAGTGACAGCATGATATTAATTAATAGAGCATTATCCAAAAGAAAACAAATAGTATATCAAACCATCAAAGTACACTTCTATAAACATGCATCCAAAGATTTGATCAACAAAAACAATTTTAAGAATCTGCAGATGAATCAAGTATTAGAATTAACCAATCTGCATGCACATATTTTGTATCTCATGGAAATTAAGTGTACCAGGTGATGGAAATGAGGTGGCTAAAAAGCATTAGTAGTTGGAGAAGAATGTTTTATGTGGCAAAATGTTGGAAGAGTTTCAACTACCTTGGGGGTTTGGAGAGGGGTAGAGGTTGTATTGGCGATTTGAGGCAAAGGAAACTTCCAGTTTCTCATAAAGATTTGTTGACAAAATGGTTCTGGTGCTATGCCACTAAGAGTGGTTGTTAGTAGAGGCAAGGCACGGAGAAGATTGGGGGTTTTGGGGAAGAATGGTGCTTGAATAATGTGTCGGACCCTTATGGTGTTCGGGTATCAAAAGGGATTAAAAGGACTTGGTAGATATTTTCGAGGTTGTGACGATCCTCCCTTGTTTGTTGTTGTAAGCAAGTAAAAGAGTAGTTTTGTTTTGGCTTGAACTTTGGAGCTCTTAGTACTTAATCACACGTGTTTTAGGTTAATGAATCTAGACAACCACCACCTAAAAACAGACTACACAGATGAGGTGCAACAGAAGCAGGCCCGTATCAGCAATAATAACGTAATGAAATCAGTTCATTGCGGTTGTGAACTTTTTCCACCTTGCATATAGGGCCCAGAATGCAGCGATATGCAGTTTTTTACAACCTAATTTAATAGAAATTGGTGTTTAAGTGATTTTAAGTAATTTTTTTAGCATCATTTAACACAAGTAGTGACCTACTCATGAATTGTAAGTCAGTATCATTACTCAAAAGGTTAATAATTATACTTTTTACTAAATTAATGAAAAAAATAAACTTAAACATGAAATAAATGAAAATTCATACCATAAAACACATGAATACTATAGTATATTTTACAATACCTCAATAACCAATCACATAGTTTAGCTCTCAAACTAATAACAAAACATTTGAGAACAATAACTAAAGCAAAAAATAAAAAAAAAAACTTTCGGAACTCACCACTTATTTCGAACTTTGGAAGACCAAGATTCTTTGAGCTTAGATCTCAAGTTCTTTGTGTTTTTTATGCAAGTTTTGACCTTTGCAACAAATTGAGCCCATTTGAATGAAAAAAGTATGTAAAATGGGGCTGAAATCACCATTTAAGACGACTGGCAGCTGGCCATTTCAGGAAATGGTCAAACTGTTCCGTTTCTCTACAGAAATGGCCCAGTTCCCTTATAAACTGGCCAGTTCTCTTTCCGAACAAGCCGGTTCTTGGCTGAATCGACCAATTTTGATGTGTTTTTTAAATCTCAGTGATTTATCAGCGAGAACCAGGCTCAGAAGCTACCAAGTCAGTTAAGACTTGTCCGAATCGGCCAAGAGAGATGTGGGGTTGTGGTTTGGGAGGGGGGGGGGGGATTGGAGGAGTTTGGTGGTGTGGAGGAGAGGGAGAGCCAATTAACTGAATTCAAGGACATCCTATTGTGCTGATTTGATGAGTCATTAATTCAGTAATGTGGCAACAATTAATCAACTATATGTTAAAGATATTTTCTTTTCTTTTTAGTTGAAAAACAAAATACTGCAGTGGTATTACATAATGCATGGTGACTTCCTACTGGTTGTAATAGAACTCTAAACAGTGATTTTAAGATCAAAGGCCAAAAATAAGGAAGGTGGGGGGGGGGGGGGGGGGGGGGGATGGTGGTGGTGGTGGTGAATGTGAATTAATAAAAAAGGTTTGCTAATAGAGATGACACTTAAGAACTTGCTTTCTCATAAAAGGTTTATATGCATATATCATTTACCCTGCTAACTTCATGAACAAATAAGTCCCATATTCTACTGAATACCTGAATCAATAATACACATACCTTACGAGGTCCAACAGCCAACTCATTTTCCACAACAGATACTGCCTTTAACCCCACTGGATTTAACACCTCTTCATAACTATCCACATGAAAATGTATTATGATTAATTCAATCTCATAAGGATAGATAAATATCATCTTGCATGTCATAAGTTCTTACAGTCCCAAGTCTAAGATAAAAATAACTCAAAAGGAATTCAAATAGAAGAAGCTAAAGTTAGAGAATTACTCAGCAAGGGATACACTATATGGGGGACCACCGACATGATCGCCAACCTGCACCAAAAAAAAAAAAAAAAAAAAATTCATATCAGGAATTTAAATTCACCTAAAACAAAATTAATGAAAAGATAAATCAGGGAAAAAAGAAAAAAAAACCAAAAGAAGAATAGATGGCAACCGGAAACATTAATGTTATGAGCTCTCCATCTGGTTTTAAAAGATGTTCAATTTGGCTTGCCCAAGCAGATCTCATATCTTGTTCAATGGCACAAAAGAACCTGCAAAATCAAACATGCTTAAAAGAAAAGTTCCTTCTAATAGGATCTATAAGACCTAAATTCTAAATAAATAAAAAACTTACGTATAGTCAAAAATGATATCAAACAACTCAGCTGGATGCCAAGTAAAGAAGTCGGTCTTTAAGAAGGTAAAGGAATTTGCATTTGGTAATGAGGAATGCAGCTGTGATGACAATACGGGCAGAGAGTCAGACAGAATTTTTCAAGAAAGTATTACAAATTTGCAATTAATGTAAACAGCTGGAGAGCCACAGTTCTGAAACTAGGAAGAGAATTGAGACTCTGAGCATAAGTTTGAATCACCCAACCACCAGAGTTTAATGAGTTTTCAAGTCTCTCAAAAGCTCTATTCTATTCTACCTGAAGGTCCTGTATTACCATTGAGATGTACCAATTCATTATATGCCGCATTACTTTCTAGAGCTGTTAAAAAAGAACACTGTAACTCTGGCAATAAACCAAGGATGCAATGTGGCACTGACGTGAAACTATATCAATACAATGGTTCCTTGGGCAATGAGGACTCGAGATAGGTTAACAAATCTAGGCCTCAATCTTCTCAAATTTGGGTGATATAATCAATGATCTGATATAAGAGAGAACAATTTAGCATTTGTCACAAAAAGGACAATCCAGTTCAAGTAGTTATTCACAAGAAATAACCTAACAAGTATTTGTGTGAACACCAATTGGGGCACGGGCACCTTGTCATACCCGCTTTGTTTCAACTCACCATGTCTGACACCTTAAATTCTTAATGGAAACCTATGTCAGTTTCCTTATCAAATGTAACTGAAATCGATAGACTTGGCAAAAAATAGAAAAACATAAAAACATGGGTTTGTGTTAATGGCTCTAACAAGTTGAGGAGTTAGCCAGGGAAGATTTGGGTGAAGCTATAAATGGGACAACATGAAAATGCATTTGCTGAAAGTGATGGTTGGTATACTTGGAAGAAGAAACAGGATTCCGCTGCAAGACCCATTAAATAGATCATTATATCAGAGAGAAATGGTAACCATTCAGGAATTCCAGCTTCCAAGGTAAAAACTGCATCAACATGGTTATTTCTATTTTCCCTTACTTCTGTAGAGGGATAGAGGCTTACTGAAGTAGAGTGAGAACACATCATCTCTTACCTCTGTCGCTTTCCTAATGGCCATGTCTGATATATCCAATCCAACAACATAGCGTTCAGGGCATGCAATTGCTACCACATCATGACCCTGCCATACATGAACAGATTGCAGTAAAGGCGAAGGAAGGATGTAAGAAGTGGCACAAAGAAAAGAAAAGAAATGAGTACTGTTGGCAACAAAAGAAATATCATAGAGCTGCTGTCCTTACAGCACATTTGAAAAAAAAAAAAAAATTCTAACTAAATTTTTCATTATTTAAACTTCTGCTCAACAAAGACCCAAAATATCGCCGGGCGGGGGGGGGGGGGGGGGGGGGGGTTGGGGGGGCTTTAGCATTTCACCGGAACTTAATCGCTGCCATGTGTTTTCAAATAGCATTTAAAGTCCATCTTGTTTTTCCAAAGCCTTGGTAATTTTCCTTTGGCATCAACAGATTTTGCTTCTTACAAAATGTAATGAAATATTGCAACATGAACACTGTGATTTTAAGATTCTAAGAAACAAAATTGTGTACAAGTCCCTAGCAAATGATGACTTTCTCTGCCTCTCCCCCATCAACTTTTGTGGTCAGGTGAGAGCATGTATTGAATTCATTTTTGTTTTACAATGATTCTAAAGGATAAATATGTGCCTTCAAGTTATTTATTTATTTTTCAAAGATGGAGTGACTATAATTAGCCAGCATATCCAGTGTGAAACTTGCATCTATATTGCATGGTCAAAGAAAAATGAGGAATTGAAGAATTCCAGACAATGATATAAAACTCAGTCAGTTTACAGACACAACAAAAAATATAGAATACAGGAAATTGCAGTGCATAAATTAAAAGAGTTACAAAAAGTAAGCCAGCATATCTTTGGGACTTTGTTTAATCACTTTGGGACAATTTCTGGGAGTTTGCATTGAAGAATTCCTTTGATTGATGCTCTCAGTACTGCCAGTTCACTTTTTTTTCAGTAAGTAAAGGTACGTGATTAAAAGGCACATAAATGGGGGCACAAGCAGTGTGTAGAGGGAATAAAAGAAGAAAGCCATACAACAGAAAGGAAAGAACATAACTTGATTGTATCCCAAAAAATTTGGGGGGTGGGGGGAGGGCTTGACTCACCTTGTCATCCATCCTAATGAAAGACTCAAAAAGTTACTCATGAACTTCAAAAAAGGCTTCTCATGATCTCATCCATATAAGATCTGCCAACAACGCCTCCTTATGAATTGAAATCACATATAATCAAGAAAAAGCTCTCTTAAAGGAGTCTCTCTATGCCAACAATCATGATACACTTCTTCCACTACAAAGCAGATGTATTTCAAACAGGGGCGCAACTCAGGCGGAAAAACCCAAACACAACACAAGCCAAATCCAGCCATTGTAGTCTTGGACAAGCATGGGCAGCTCTTTGATTGCTTTGGGTTGAAAATTTTCACCCGACCTCATTTCAGAAGGTTCACACAAAGGTATACACAATCCCAAGCCCAACCTAGCCTTGTATCGTTACTATCGGTTTTGCCATTATAGTACTAATGAGCAAAAAACTGAGGTTATCCTGACCTTAACCCAATACTAAGTACTAACTACTAACTCAACCAATTTGATACTAACCCAAGCCCTAATGAGCTTAATCCACACATAAATAAATATGTTTGGATTGGGGCTAAATGAACTGAAGATCAAGTTGGGTTCAGGCTTGGACTGAGGATTTTATACTTCTGATTGACCCCTCAACCACCCCACCCTCCAGAGTTGCATACCTAATTTGAAGAAGGACACCCACTCTCTTCTGATGCTTTTCCCGCACCAATCCCACACAACTTAAACCCCAATTGAGCTACTTTCACTTTCCTTTGATATCCTTTGAATCATTTGTATTTTCATTATCTACATAATTACTAGACTCAAGGTCACTCTATTCACCAACAGGCTAGTGGCCTAGCGGTACCAAGCTCCTACTTTTCAAAGGGAGGTCAGGGGTTCGAGTCTTGGTGGAGGCATGTGTGTGTGAGTACCAATTAGGAAAAAAAAAAGAGGGTCACTCTATTCTCATTCTTGAGGGCCTAATTCTCGTGAAAGTGAGATTGACTCGTACTTATAGAAGTAAAGCCAAGCTACTATCATATTAACTGGTAAATGGCAAGAAATAACTGCAATCCAATGCAAGATGCAGGAAATTAGGATGCAAAACCAAACCTCAAGCTCTATGAGATGATGGAAACAAAATACAAAAAATGATTAGTGCTACAATGGAGCATCACAGAGGAAAGGTAGGTACATTTATTGTAGAAGGATTTAAATATTAAAGTTACACCATCTCTAATAGCTTAAGCTTTTAGAGTAGATGGTTGTTAATATGGTATTACAATAAGCATGTTATATGTAACAGCTTAAGCTTTTAGAGTAGATGGTTGTTAACATTACTCGCTAACATTATCATAATATGTAAAAGAATTATCAAAAGAGATATTTCAGGTTAGAATGGAAGTTGTATTTTAGTGGTATATAGTAAATCCTAATTTAATTTTCTATCATTTTTTTTTCTCTCTTCAAAGGAGGTGACCTAATTCTTAAATTAATGATCATACTCATAACCAAACTGAAAACAAGTAATGAAATTAACAATGCAACAAAATATTTCTTTTAAGTGAGAGTAAATGATCAAAACTATTTCCATTTTAGGCTCCGATTTTGTGTAACCACAATTACAATTTTTAAATTTATGAGCATACATCAAGTACAGATCCACAGGATTTTGATTTGCAACAAACATATAAGGTGCTAAAATCAAAGTATGGCATTAGCATAACTGAAAGTTAGGATTTTGTAAGCTGACAAAACACATATTTAAACAACTTACACTGCCACATCCTGGGACTAAAGCCCTGCCCTTTGGAAGGGCACCTATGTGCTGAAGATGTTTAAGAACTGGCGTTGGCTGTCCCAAATCCCACGGTGTCAATCCTTGAGCCCAACATTTTTCCCAGCCACCTGAAATTGGGTGATTCAGATACAAATTAAGCTTCAGTGCAAATATTAGATGGAAATAACTATCTACAATGACTTATCAAACTCTACACTTCTGGGGTGCACCATAGTACGACACCATTGAGAATATGCCTCATTTTGCTGAGGTGTTATGTGAGTACAATCCTTATGTGCCAAAAGAAATATAATGGGTCTCAGGTGTTTTGTGATAAAAGGCCATTACAATTCTTATCTGCCAAAAGAAACATTATGGGTATTACCCAGGTCGGTATTTGTAGCTCTGCGGGATTGCTGAAACACAGAAAGAGGGAGAAAAGGATAATTTTGAAGGAGGCATACATGGTAGATTTGGAGTTTATCGTTTAGGGTTCGAATTGCTCAGAAGTCAAAATTTAGGTTTCCAAGGGAATTCAAATGGTCTTGTCTACGACGATTGGGATCAAATGTAGCTGAAGCACCAAATATTTTCCATATTTAAGTCTTCCCCAACTCGGTTGGAACTTGGAAGTTGTAATTTATGGTGAGGTTCGCTTTCTCAATCCTAAGAGGGTTACCCTCCGTTACTTTCCAAAGATTATGATGACTCAAATTATAGGCTTAAGAAACCTCATAATCAGGACAGTTGAATCTTGTTAGGACTTATCCCATAGATTTTCTTCGGTGCTTAACAATTTGCTCCATACTTGAGCTCGTGTTGGTGATGGATCAAATGATAAAATTTGCCCTCGGTTGTCGTGAAAAAAAAAAAAAAAAAAACACCGTAGCCCAGTGAAAAATAAAAAAAATTAATTATTAGTACAAAGACAAGAAGCCAAATTGAGACTTGAAAAATACCAGCAGAATCGGAGTGTAGGACTTGCTGTATTTTGTCGACGCCAGAGGAGGAAGGGGAAGGGCTTGATTTCGTCATCGTTTCATTCTCTATTGTATTTGATTTTGTATCCATCTGTTGTCCTTCTCTGTTTTCCATCTTCCTCTCACGCTGTCTTCTACTGCTACTATGAATATGAAGAGGACCACTAGCAATATTATTATATAGATTTGGGGAGGGCAAGTACAAAGGCTTCGAGAATTGTCGACGACAGATTTGGACCGCAAAATAGAGTTTAAGAAAACTGACCGAGTCCTGAAATTTCAATGGAATGGAATGGAAGAGAAAACACAAAGGCATAGAGAATTCTCGACGACAGATTTGGACCGCAAAATAGAGTTTCGGAAAACTGATTGACTCCTGAAATTTGAATGGAATGGAATGGAAGAGAAAACGCATTACACAAGTTCATTTGGAGAAAAGCAAGATGGAAGTCTGGACGCGTTTTCCATTCAAAATGGAAGTCTGGACGCGTTTTCCATTCAAATTTGTCATGCAAGTGACTAAATTTTAAAAAGAAAATAGTTCAATTTCCAAATCTTATTTTAAGACTACGGCTATTCACAAAACATATAATAAGAAAATAAAGGACCATTTTTTTTTTCTTCTGTTGACTAGTGCTATTTATTTATTTATTTATTTTTCTGTGGCAAAATAGTGCTATTCACTCGTATATATTCTTATGAACTTTTCTATTGGACAGGTTTAGGGATTAACAATCTAGGGTTTAGGATTTTGGGTTTTGGGGCTTTAGGGTTTTAGGGGTCAAGGGTTTAT